TTATTTATTTATTTATTTATTTATTTACTTATTTAATTTTGTGGAGAGCATATAATGCTTCCAGCGCCTTGCCTCCATTTCTTGCTTTTGAATAAACGTTGTTAAAAAAAAAGCTGGATCGGTCCAACTCCGCAGAGGAGTCTCGCTAAATTGCATCAAATGTTATCAGCATAATTTTCTGACATGCCGCCTTGAGAAGCTAGGGGTAACTTGACTTTCGTGTGTACCGAATATACAGCATTGGTCAAAAAGGTTGTCCCACCCCCATTTCCATGTACTTTTATTTACAAATGATAACCTTACAGCCGTAAATTGTTAGAAATAGTGCTTTTTATTACGGATACAGTGTCTAACGTGATTAATGGTTTAAAGAATACAAAATAGTGGTAAAAATATACATATTTTATACCATTTAGTAAAATTTATAAGAGGTACCCCCTCAAATCGACTGTTTCACTGTGACTTCTACAGATGTAAAGAAATGTCTATAAAATTGAAACACGCCATCAAATGTCACCAAATTCACACACAATTAGCATTAGGGTGTGCTTGTTAAAGGTCACGTGCCTAACAGCGTGTGCGTCTACTGCGTACTGCAATTATCTCCTGTAGATGGCGCGACAAGACTTCAACATGTGTAACAATTCTGTTTTCTGGGATATTGTCCCATTCATCCTAAAGAGCGTGGCGGAATTGGTCAAGATTATTTAGGAATTGGTTCTCCTCTGCAATGCACATTCCAATTTATTCCACAGGTGCTCAGTAGGATTAATATCAGGACTCAAAGACGGTTGTCCCATCCTCAGAGCCCTGTGTTTCTGCAACAAATCGTTTCCCAGACGAGAGCTGTGAGCAAGTGCGTTGTCACAACGAAGCCAGTAGCATCCCTGAAGTCACCTCTTGCAAATGGAGTGAGATTTCTGTTGAGAATGTTACATTAAAATGCCCCTGTTACGTTTTGTTCCAAAAGGAACAATGTACTAATACCATGGGCTTGGAACACTCTCCAAATGCGGATTGATCTAACACCTCAGGCGATATTACCCTACACACACCCTTCCGAGAGGCATTTTGTAATATGTCTATGGACCCTCTTTGACCATCGATGGGATACAAGAAATAATTTGATTCTGCATCAAAATCGACTTCCTTCCAGTGATGGATGGCCAGGTTCAGGTGCCTGTGGGATCACTGAACGTAGCAATTTCTCAGCTGATATCTCATTCCATCTTCAAGAACTGACTTTGGGGTTAACTTCAGGCTTTGTCATGACTGCACACTTGCTCACACCTCTCGCCAGGCAAGTGTTTGTTGAAGAAACACAATGGTCTAAGGATGGAACCACCATCTTTGAGCCCTGATATTAAACTTACTAATCAACTGTGACATGAATTGGAGTGTGCAATGCAAAGGAGAACCAACCCCATAAAGACGCAGACCAACCCCCCCCCCCCCCCAACTTGCTTAAGAATAATGGGACAATATCCCAGAAAACAGAATTGTTACCCATGTTGGTCTTGTCGCGCCATCTACAGGAGATAATTGCAGTACGCAGTAGACGCACACGCTGTTGGGCACGTGACCTTTAACAAGCACACCCTAATGCTAATTGTGTGTGAATTTGGTGACATTTGATGGCGTCTTTTCAATTTTATAGACATTTCTTTACATCTGTAGAAGTCACAGTGAAACAGTCGATTTGAGGGGGTACCTCTTATAAATTTTACTAAATGGTATAAAATATGTATATTTTTACCACTATTTTGTATTTTTTAAACCATTAATCACGTTAGACACTGTATCCGTAATAAAAAGCACTACCTGTATTTCTAAAAATTAGCGGTTGTAAGGTTATCATTTGTAAATAAAAGTACATGGAAATGGGGGTGGGACAACCTTTTTGACCAATGCTGTATTGAATTCATTTAGGGAAAAATTCCTGCAGAGTTGGATCGATCCAGCTAGTATGATGGGTTAATCTGAACGCTCCTTAGTTCTGTTTGTACCCAACAAATTTACAATTTTCTCTATGTGTGTGTGTGTGTGTGTGCGCGCGCGCATGTGGGATGGGGTGGCACATAAAATGAGGGCCAGTTACATTCCCCCGCACAAATCAACGTAGAAGAGAACGAAGGGTGTTTATGTAGTTATGAAAGGCATAGAAACATTACACGTGCAGGCACGCTGGAAACACGTTTAAGTGTTTGCGCGAAGGCACGTATGTGCGTTACCTTTCTGGTGAATAATAATTATATGTTATATACAAAACAAACGAATTAAAAAAATAAAAAATAAACTTTTACCACGTATGTAGCGGTTAAATAGTGACGAGGTAATCTGTTCATACTATCACGCTCTGGATGTACAGTGANACTCGATCAACTAAATGATAGGTACCCGGCACGGTGAATATACAGCTTGTTGGAAATGTTGAAATTCTACAAATTACAGGCCATCGCACATCTTAAAAATTTGATATGTTCAAAAAATATTGCCAAACTATGAAAAAACAGGAACAGATAAAGAAAAAAACCCTTAAGCTGCATTTGGCACAGTTCAAAAGTCAATGTTTACAATGACGTTTTGTGTGCGGCCATTTTGCTAATCGCCAGTAACTTTAGAGAATACTCAGTGAAATCGATACACGAAGACTTATTCGGTGTATAAAATGTAACTTAAGCATATACTGTATTGTCCCGTCAAATTCATTAGTATTTAAATCTACTGTTCATTCCACAAACACATGTACAACTTACCTGTCTCTATGCCTTCGTCTCCCGCCAAATTTTTTTGGGGTTACCACTCCACGTTTTGAAAACGAGGCCAAATCTAATATTTTCCAAAATAACCGTCAAATCAGCCAGTGGCTCCCGGGCTGCATTGCAGTCCTCAATAATAAATTAGTGCATACGACATAAAACTATATATGTACTGAAATAATTCACTTCTTGGACTATGGAGTAATACCTCATACGCAACACAATCTATTGTCGGCGAAGACTGGGTGAGATAATTACAAAAGATATGTACTCGGTTGACCCAATGACCATGATACGGTCCTGTAATAAACCAGGATCTCATTGGATGCATGACCAGACTTAATTACTTCTTGTTAATTACCCCAGACAGTAGACCGACTGATCCCATTTTATTGAATTAGATTTTATTCAACTAAAATTACTTAACTGCTACAAGCTTCCAAAGTGGTTTCCCAGCATACCCTCCCAATGCCCCTCCATTGAAAATCTGAATTCCGCACTCATCGTCAGATCAAAATGACACTTTGTTGCCAAGGCTAACCCCTTTCAGCTATCAAGCAGGCAAGAAAAATGATAAAATTCGGCAGCAAGTTACCTGCTTCTTCAACTCGCAGGAAAAAAAGTTGACTCCCATAACTCGGATACCTTTAATTGGCTCAAACTATGCTCAGACACAGGTTAAACGACATTCATACATGTAAGATTAAGCTGCTACCTGCAGGGACGGATTCAGAGATATTTTCTGACAGTCTTCCAAATTATCTTTTTTGATCTATCCTCCATTTTTTTACCCTCTTCCGACAGAAAAAATAGATACCCGTCAATGTGAACTTGATCGTCAATGAAACAATGGAATTCTGATCGTCTTCCGGAAAACTCAGAAGACGGCCTCAATCCGCCCCTGACCTTAGGAAAATTGTTCTGAGGGACACGTTCTTGATAAAGGATAAGTGAATTTATTAGATGGAGAGTTATGTCTCTTGACTTGGTCCCTCATATAGCATGATTACCTCAGTTCAACAAGCTCTAGTCTATCATGCACAGCTGACAACAGCTGCTGTAATTTTGCTGTCGACTTTGTAATCAATTGTGCACGGCGGTTGCATGCATGTGTATCATAATGTTTTTGCTGCTTCTGGATAGACTTACTTAAAAAAACCCTGGTAATATCCATATCATACACAACTTTATTTCAAATATACACAACAGCTAGATCTACAAATATATTTTGATAAGGACCTTAAAAATGACTGGGATCTGTATTGTTTATAACAGTGAGAGCAAAATTTTGCGAATAGTCAAACTCGCTCCAGGGTAATAACCAGAGTTCATGGTTCATGTGTTGGTTATATCATACATCATATTACAATAGCTTTTTATTTATAACACCTAGATTAAATCAGGTGCAGTAATGGTGAACATGGGAAGGTGCCAGAGTAGAATTGGGACAGGGCAGGGGGGGGGGGTCTAGTGTGGCATTTAGACTGAGCTGAACTGGTACTGGATTGGTGTGGTGATAGGGGTGTTTTATTGCAGTGGTGTTAATCTGAAGTTGTGAGTGTTGTTGTGATAGGATAGTGCTGGGGATGTTGAAATAATGTTGTGATTGGGTGGTTTTGGGGTTACATAGGGATAGAGCAGTGTTGGGGCTGTGTAGGGATAGGTACGATGGTGTTTGGGATGAGTAGGGAAAGCTAGAGTGGTGTTTGGGATGTGAAGGGATAGCAAGGGTGGTGTTTGGGCTGTGAAGAGACAGGTGATGTATTGTACAATGTATGTGAAAGGGTGGTGTTGGCGCTGTGTTGCATGTGATAGGGTGGTGTTGGCACTGTGTTGTATGTGATAAGGTGGCGTTGGCGCTGTGTTGTATGTGATAAGGTGGTGTTGGGGCTGTGTTGTATGTGAAAGGGTGGTGTTGGCGCTGTGTTGTATGTGAAAGGGTGGTGTTGGGG